TTGTCTCGGCATAGTTGTTGAAAGAGGTCTGATGTATACTCACCACCGTTGTTGGATCTTAACGTCTTAATCTTTCTCCCTGTCTGCAGTTCCAATCTTTTTTTCCACTCTAAAATATCTCTAGGACTTTACTCTTTTGTTTTATGGTTATACCCAACAACGTCTAAAATAGTCATCCATAAAAGTGATGAACCAATGTCGACCGACCATCAAGTGATGATGTCTTTGTGGGACCCCATATATCCGTGTGCACGTAGTCTAAGATGTCGTTTGTCCTATGAATGGCTGACCCGAGCTTCACTTTAGTCTTCTTGCCAAGAATACAATGCTCAAAGAATTCAAATTTTCCACTCTTGGCTCCTTTCAATAATCCATGCTTGCACAACGTCTGCAGTGATTTCTCCCCCTGCGTGCCCAAGTCTAAAATGTCAAAGTCTGCTAGCATCTGCCTCTGAAACTGCTGAAGCTACCTGGACAATCTCGGTATTTCCCTTTAGATAATAAAGATTTCTATTGTGGACCCCTTTCATCACTACCAATGATCCTTTAGTGACTTTAGCTACAACGTTCTCTAAAGTTATATTGAATCCCTTTGCCTCTAAAGCTCCAACAGAAATACGATTTTTCTTCAGATGAAGAACAAATCTTACTTCATTCAATTCTCTAACAACTCCATTGTGCATTCGAATCCTGGCAGTACCTATCCCACAAATATCATAGGACTGATTATTTCCCATGACCATTACATCCCTATCGAGCTTCTCAAAAGATGCAAACCAATCTCTCCGGGGAGTCACATGATAAGTAGCACCAGAATCCAGCATTTAATCCAATGCTTCCGCACGATTAATCTCTGAAGTAATCAAAAGAGAAAAGCATGAGTCATCAAAATCATTACCACTTCTAGCAACATTTGTTAGACCCTAGAGGGGGGGGGGGGACAAACACACAAAGATGATCACGGAGTTCGGACCTTCCGTCCTACGTCTCCGCTCCCCACTCCCGGGGAGAAATCCACTATCAACCGGGTTTTCTACGTTCACCCGAACAACGTTTACACCTCACACTCGGTTTTCTAGCTAACCGAAAACTTTACAATCAACACACTATTGTAATCCCACTCTACACCCACTAAGTGTTGGACCTAGCCGTGTCTCCCTCAAGTGCTCGGTTACAACCTCTCCCTAGGCACGTCAACCGACGCCACTCCTCTTGGGACGATCCCCGACTCTCACCACACACTCCTCACTCGGTGTACAAGTGTATTACAAAGTGAATCTCACAATAAGCACAATATAACAAATGATTGTTCTCAACTATGGATGAGAACACAATTAAGCGCAACTCAAAGTTACAAACTCTCACCACCCAACTATACTATGTATGTAAATACTAAAAGCTCAATGTGGGTGTGTGTAACAATGAGTAAAATGAAATCTAACTCAAATAGCAAACTAGCAATAATTAATATATGATAAATCAATAATGAAATTGCTAGGGAAAAGAGTTAGAAAACTTCTCTATAAACACAAAGAGAGGATGAGAAGATTTTGAGGATGAAATCCTCAACTGGTGATGCAAACTCCTCTTTGTAACAGCAAACCCCAAAAACAAACTAAACAAACTCAAACCCTTGTTTAAAACTTTCTTAAACTTGTTTTTAAAACTCTCTTAATCAATCTGAAAAGATATCAGCAATGGGGTATATATACCCTCTAAAGATCTCAGCAAAAAATCCCAAGTCAAAAGACCAAAAAACCATCTTCAACGGCTCTAAAAAGAGCCGTTGGGACTCCAGCGGTCGACCGATGAAAATCGCGGTCGACCGGAAACAAGGTTAGAGTCGGAGGAGACGTCCAGAGAGTCTTCGGTCGACCGGGTGGAAATTTCGGTCGACCGATGGTAAATTTCGGTCGACCGGCGGAAATTTCGGTCGACCGACGGTACTAAAGCAGGTATATCCGATTTTATAAAATTGGTTAAAAATAGTAAAACAGATCCAAAAATTATGAAATTTTGAGGAAAGGTTATAGACATGTATAAAAACATATTAGAGAAAGAATTTCTGAAAAAGAATTTTCCAGTTGAGATAAATAAATGTTTTAACACAGAAATATAGTTTCTGAAAATCTGCTGTGATACACGATATTGTAAAATCAATTAGGCACAATAAATCAACTCTAAAAATAGTAAAATTTTGTGGTAAGTTTCTAAATATTTATATAAACATGTAAGAGAAAGAATTTTTCAAATATCACTTCTCATTTGTGAAAACTCATCAATTTTGTAAAACATGCACGAACATGTGCACGAACGAAAACGTGAATTTGTAAATTCCTTTAAACATAACAAATCAATTCCAAACTTGATGAAACTTTGAGAAATATTTGCAAATGATATTTTGAACATGTTACAAAAAGAATTTTCCAATTTGCATTTCTCAATTGTGAAATCTCATTATTTTGCAAAAGTATTCAAAACATGAAAAACCCAAAACCATGCATGTATATATATAACTATATATATACATAGAAACCAAATACGTGTGTGTATATGATATTGAGCTTAAGGTACTTCACACACATAATATAAAATCTAAACTAGATTACCCAAGTAATCTTGATCTTCAATTTAGCTTGACTTGGTACACTTGCGGATGAAGCTTGAACTTGATCTTTAACTTGAATTGTATAGGCTTCAACCCGACATTCCGCCAACCTCCTTTTGATATCGTCGTTATGGCGCAATCCATCCATCCTCCAACAACGTTGTTTGTCTACAAAACATAGGAATGCACAAACACTAGACAAACAACATTAGTAATAAATTGTTTGTTAAACATCATCAAAACAAGAAGACCAACAACATTCACCTCACTGACCTTCGGGCTCTTCTTCTTGCTATTCTCCTTCTTTCTTAGCTTCGAGTAATCTCTCTTCTAATGTCCTTATTCTCTGCAAAAAGCATATTGGTTTTTATCAATTTGGTAGTATCCTCTAGACTTTGACCTGTCCTGATTACCACCTCTAGGATAGGGACTTTTTCCTCTTGTCAACAAGACTTCTCCTGAAGTGCTAGCTCTGGAAGATTCTTTATCCTTCCTCCTCAAATTAAAATTTGTCAATGTGTTTTTCACTTTACTATAGGTGATGAAAGATCTACCATTCAACAATATAAGCACAAAGGTGTCAAAATCCTCATTGGGTAATAAGCCTAACAAAATGATCACCTTGTACTTATCTGATATCTTCTCATTAATATTTACCAAGTCTGACAACAACTTTGTATAGTTGTTCATATGATCTGCAAGTGAGGTACCCTTGGACATCTGGAATTTGAATAATCTCCACAACAAGTGCAACCAATTCTCAACACTCTTTGTAAGATACTTGTTATTGAGAATTTCTCACATCTTCATTGCAGATGTCATGCCAATAACATCATATTTCAACTCTTATTCTAAACAAGATCTAATTACCCCACAAGCATTTCTATTTATCTTGTCCTACACTGTCTTATCATATTTTAGGTGGTCTCTCATGAACCATTATTATCTCTTCTAAGTTTTGAGCATTCAAAGCATCCTGCACATCACTCATCCACAAATCTAAAATTGATTTTGTCGTCATATTTCATAACACTAACCTTCGTATTCTGAAGTGCAACCTGAACTGTACTCGACGTAGCCTTGCTACTATCACCACTATCTTCTGCCATTACTTACTAACTCCAAATTGTAGAAGAAAAATTTGAGATTGATAGAATTGAGAAATCACCCAAATTGAACTCTAGATAAGATTCCAAAATAATCTCCCAACTACACGAGGAAGGCAAGATCTCCAATAACAACTCCGCAACACTACCTCCACCTAAACCTAGATCTCCAAAATCCAAGCTTCTAACACCGAATTTTCCTTCGCCCAAAACAAACCCTAGTGCTCTGATACCACTTGTTGCGCTCGACGGAAGCGGACTCAATGCACAACGAGTCGGTAAGCAATGCACGGAGAACATAACGAACACAATCCACAATATAGATGGGCAAGATCAATCGCAAACACAGAGAATTATGTGGTTTGGTGAGATGCCTATGTTTACGGGAGAGGATGTGGAGATTTCACTATATGAAGGAGAATTACAATGAGTTACAATTCTCAAACAATCAAAATAACCCTCACCAGCAAGATCCCACTCACCTACAAATAATCTCTCTCTCAAAGTGCTTAGAACTCACTGATAACAACCTCTCTTATTTAACCGCACACACTTCTAAACATATAAAAACCCTAAATCCAAAACAGTCTGGAAAACGGTTTTACCCGTTCAACCCACTATCGGTCGACCGATACGGATGTTCGGTCGACCGACTAGAGCAAATTTTCCCAGTTCCTACAATGCACATTATCGGTCAACCAATACATCCCTATCAATCTACCGACCAGAATGAATTCTTGTACCTGTTTTCTAGTGGTCGAATCGGTCGACTGATGAAATTGATCAGTCAACCGATGGTTTGTGCAAGTTTGTGCATGTCTTCAAAAAAAAAAACTTATTATCCTTAAGCATGTAAGCATATTCCACACAACATAAAAAATAACAAAAAATAAAAAGCAAAATGCTCATAAGTAACAACATCAACAATAGTCTTCATTATTTTCTCTTTAAATATGGTTTGACACTTTTCTCATCTCCATATTCTCTCAAACAAATTTTTTTAATCTCTAAGCAATAATTACACCTCAAAAAGTTTGCATTGCGTACATCAAGGAAATCATCTCAAAAATTTCATATCCTAATTTAGGGTTTTAATATAATTTCAAAATTCTAAATAAAAAAATAACAGCTTAAAATAATTAAGAAGTCATTGAAAGGGAACCTCAATCAAAGCCAATCTTTGAACTTGAAGTAACACACACATTATATAAAAACCTTGCAATACAATGCATACATGTTGCATGAATAAAGTGTCATTACACAATCTCTGCAATTCATGATCCGCTTCAACCTTGACCACCACCAGCACCACTTCCCACCCCCTCTCCACATCCTCCTCCACTTCCCTCACTTCCACTCGCACTTCCATACCCTTCTCCACTTCCCGCCGCCCCTCTGGCATTTCCAACACCACTTCCACCTCCCGAACTCCCACTTCCTCCACTTCCAACACCACCACCTCCTCCTCCACCGCTACTCACACTCACACCCCTACGCCCTACACTTACACCAACACCACCACCTCCACCACCACTCACACTCCCATTTTTCATGCCAATTGCTCCTCCTCCACCAACTCCTATCCCTACACTAACGCCGTCTCTCCCTACATCGATGCCAATTCCTACACCCATGCCGCCCCCTACGTTTTCCCCGTCGCCTCTGGTGGTGCCCACTCCACCTCCAGCTCCGCCGCCAATGCCAAAATCGGTTTTGGATCCGTTACCGTTCAGATGTAGTGAGAATGTTTTTGTTTCATCGATGGTGGAATTTTGATCGACTAAAATTCGTGCATGGATGGAGAAAATTGTGTAGGATATGAAGAGCAATAAGAATAGAGTGCACGAGATAGTAGTCATGCAATTTCTACTCATTTTGAGGGTTGTTGTATTGATTGTGAGTCTTAATTGGGATTGTTAAGATTTATATAGGACAGACATGAGTTTATAATTCTTGAAGGGTAATTGCCAATGGTCCACATAATGCAAGTAGCTAGTGTGAACGTGTGACTGTGAGCTGAAGACCTCATGTTAAAGAGAATTTTTTGGGTGGGCAACAGATCAAAAGGGGCTTTTCATGGATTAGACTGGGGATGCAGTTGGTCAAATCTAGACTGTTTTTGACTTGAAATTAATAGGGTTGCTAGCATGTAAAGTGAATTCTTTGGCTAGTTAAGGATTTTGAAGGGCTCTCAATGATTTCTCAAATTAGAAGCATACTTTCATATATGCTGTCAAAAACTTTACGTTCGAAGAGGTCAAGATATTTCCTTTTGCCTTTAAAGTTCATGGAGTTGCATCCTGTGATTTCTATGTTTGTGGACTGATCACTCATGAAAGCAAACGACAAAATGAAATTTTAACTATTGTCGCACACTTATCCTAACTTTTAAGAAAATGTACATATTTCCTTATTGGGCCATTACTCTGAAGGCTACGGGACTATTTTGGAGGCTTTGAAGTAGCAGGAGAAGAATCTAAATCAAGCAAAAGGTTCAGTAAGTATTGACAAAAAAACGCAATATGTGAAGAAAAGCATACAACAATTGAAAAGAAGAACGCGGGTGAAGGACCAAATACAAAGAATAAGAATAAAAGCTTTGGTGATTTTCTAGAAGAAATTTATGAAAAGAAATTAAGCCCGATCACAAAGTCTCTATCCTACACTGACGAAAACATGGAATAAAAATTATCAGTTCACACAATAGGGGAAAAGATAAAGCTGATCGAATTCTTTCAATTTGCAACCCCCTATCCTAAATGGAACCCGCTACCAACTCCGAAAAAAGGAAGTTGGAAAAACAAGATACATTGATCTAACTCATATGATAATTATGTTAGTACATTTAAGTTATAACATAGACATTACTCCAACATAATTCTAGTCGTAGAACATGTACAAAAATGACATGGCTGATATTTCTCTCACACGACTTTCTAGTGTTCGATAGTATTTCCATCTCAATGCAGATAAATTCATAAGATAATTGAGGGCCATTCTTCATGAAAAGGAAGCTTTATATCGTCTAATCATTATTAACCAAAAACTACTATACATATGTTATTTTATTGTAAAATAAGTTCTTTAAAATTTTGTACCTTAGGGGCTGTTTGGTTGCACACTTTTGAGAAAACTTTTCTTAAAACATCTGACAATGGTAAATTTGTAATTAAAAGTTTTCCAGAGATTTCTGTAAATTGTGTTTGATTTAACAAAAAATTTACAGAAATATTTTCTATAAAATATCAAAACCTACCAAATTTTACAAAAATCAATTTCCTCTCAAAATGAGAGGAAATCACCAGAAATCTGACACATACCATATTTAATTAAAAACCTACTCAAAATGAGAGGAAATCACCAGAAATCTGACACATACCATATTTAATTAAAAACCTACCAAATCTTGTTATTACCATATTTAATTAAAAACCTACCAAATCTTGTTATTTTCTATAAAGTTATGAGCTATTTTCTTGTTTTAAACCAAACAAGCAAAGTACAAAAAACAAGAAAATTGGTACATTTTAATTTCTCAAAACTTTTCCTATAAATTTTTTAAAAAATACAAGGAAATCATATTTTAGGTGGAAAACATTTCCTATAATTTCTAGAAATTGAACCAAACACCCACTTAGATGAAAAGTGGGACAGTTGAGTAGCGAGCAAACCCACCCAACTATCGGCCAATGTACGATTAACTAAATTACCTTTTTTTAAGACTAACTATTTATTCCTTATTGCTCTTTTCATTTTTGTTAATTAGGGATTCTCTACATCATTGATTGTAGAGAACTTCTACAATTGATTGTTGGATTTAATCTAATAAATCTATTTGTGGGCACATATGATTAATCAATGTGTATTGCTATCTTTCAGGATAACCCACTAAAGTGATTAATTAAGTTGGGTTAATGGGTATTTAAATATAATCATGGGGTTATATGTGCAGATACCAGGTTGTAATTGTGATTTATTGAGGGGCTAAATTACAAAAGTACAACATCTATAAATAAGGGGTTATGGTCCCTTACCTAGGGTTACATTCTCTAATTCTCTACACCCCCATCAAGCTAGAGAAATTCGGATTTAAACCCAAAATCAAGATCAAGCAATGGATTCAGGTATAAGCTTCCGCTCTTTTAGATTTTTGTTAATCTATTTGAATTAATCATGGCTATATGGTTTTAGATCTAAAGTTTTATGATGTAGATCTAACAAGTGGTATCAGAGACACCTTGATTAATTCTTAGGGATTTAAGTTTTATTGGGTTTTTGATCTTAAATCTCTGGTTAAAGAGTCAATTTTTGGGTTCGGATGAACAGTAATGTTCGGTGAACAGTAACGAAAATTTTTTTTTGGGTGAAAAGTAAAGTTTTTTTTTCGGATGAACAGTAACTGAAAAAATCGCTGGTGAACAGTAACTTTTTGGAATTTTTTTTTTTTGGATTTTTCTTTGATTTTTTCTTCGATTTTTTCCAATTCTGGATCTGTTTTGAAAATAAAAATAAAAGTTTTTTTTTGGGTTCGGCGGCGGTTTCAATTTGAAACCCTAAGGGTTCATGGCGAAAATTGAGGAGGTGGTTACCTCAAACGAACCTTGCGTTCGTTCTCAGGTCGAACTTTGCGTTCGTACTTAGGTTGAACTCTGCGTTCATTTTTTAAACGAACTTTGCGTTCGTTCTCAGGTCGAACTTTGCGTTCGTACTCAGGATGAACTCTGCGTTCAATTTTAAACGAACTTTGCGTTCGTTCTCAGGTCGAACTTTGCGTTCGTACTCAGGATGAACTCTGCGTTCAATTTTAAACGAACTTTGCGTTCGTTCTCAGGTCGAACTTTGCGTTCGTACTCAGGATGAACTCTGCGTTCAATTTTAAACGAACTTTGCGTTCGTTCTCAGGTCGAACTTTGCGTTCGTACTCAGGATGAACTCTGCGTTCAATTTTTAAACGAACTTTGCGTTCGTTCTCAGGTCGAACTTTGCGTTCGCACTCAGGTTGAACTCTGCGTTCATTTTTTAAACGAACATTGCGTTCGTTCTCAGGACGAACTTTGCGTTCGTACTCAGGTTGAACTCTGCGTTCATTTTTTTAACGAACTTTGCGTTCGTTCTCAGGTCGAACATTGCGTTCGTGCTCAGGTTGAACTTTGCGTTCATTTTTCAAACGAACCTTGCGTTCGTACTTAAGTGAGTCTCGAACTCAATACAGTCGAACCTTGCGTTCGAAGTTAAGGGAACCTCGTGTTCATTATGGTTAAGCCTCGGCTTTTCATGGGTCCACTTTGGTATACTTAATTTATTCAATTAAGTTATGGGCCCTAATTAAGCTGTGAGACCCCAATTAAGTTTTTGGAAATTCAGTTAATTTAAATTAAATTTTTTAATTTAAATCTATTTCGGTTTTTTAATCAATTATTTAATTCAAATATTATGACACTAAGGTATTAAGGTTGTCTCTCACTCCAATTGATTAATTGAAACAAGAAGTTGCCAAAGTAACCTCTCTTGTGTAGATTGTTCATGAGGAATGTGAGATGTTTGTGTGTATGCTTTCGTGTAAATATTTAATCGGCCCAAAGGAAGGTTAATATTTATTTAGACTGTATACACATCTGCGATGATAAGCGTGTGACAATTATAAGGTTTACATGTGAATAATGAATCGATCCAAAGATAGTTTCATTATTTGACATGAGTTATTGTCAATGTTTGATCATTGCAACAAGGTATCACTTACAAGTTAATATTACTGTCCAAAGACTTGATATTCATGTTGTGCCCGATATCTTGGATGGGGACTGTCATTATTTGAATGATATTGATTATGGTTATTGATGTGAGCTTCTTTTGTTTTATTTCAGCTAATGCATCTGCTGCAACAATTTCTGCTAACATCAACTCAATTCCCATGCTAAATGGGACAAACTTCAAGGTTTGGAAAGAGAACATATTAATTGTTCTTGGCTGCATGGATCTTGACTATGCATTAAGAACTGAACAACCTCAACCTCTCAATGCAGATAGCACTCCTGATGCAAAGAAGGAGCATGAGAAGTTGGAGCGTTCAAATCGCATGAGTCTCATGATCATTAAGCGCGGCGTTCCGGAAGCCTTCAGGGGCATAGAATCCGAAGGGATTATTAAGGCTAAAGATTTCCTTCTTTAATAAATAATAAAACTATGTATGATTTATTTAGTATGATTTTTATTAAAAAAAGTTTTTTTTATATAATAGTATAATGCATGTGTTTTGTAGGTGAACGTATATACTTTAAGTTTTAAATTTTTTATTGAATAATAAAACTATGTTTTAATAAATAAAATTGTATAATAAGATTGCTTAACAAGGAATTAGGAATTAATTATTGTTGTGTAGTTATTATAATTGAATGTTTATATAATAAATATTATTGAGATGCACTAAATGAGAAGTTGTAATTGGTGAGTTGTTGATAAGTTTCTCTACCACCGTACCACCAAACATGTTGAGGATCTCTAGTTTTTTTTTTGTCTTGGAAATCCGAATTATGTATGCATCTCTTTTGAATCCGACCCGACCCGACCCAGTAACAGCCCTAAACAAAAAACCCTATAACCCTCTCCTCCTCGCCTCAATCCCCCAACTCCCCGC